CAGCAGCCGCCCCCGCTCCCCTTTTCCCTTTTCACACACACACCCCCGGCGAGGACGAGGAGCTGCCGTCACCTAGCAACCCCTCCCGCGGGGACCACGCCGCTCCAGCTCACGTGACTCCAGGCGAGCGGGTCGTCATGACGGGCAGGCAGCCGGAGAGCGGAAGCGGCGAACGAGATACCTCCTAGCGCGCCGGAAGTCTCCGGCTCTGGGACCAAGGGCGGGGGCGTTCCTTTGTGACGTCAGCGCGCAGAGCGGCGGAGGCGGGGCGGGCTTGCGCGATGGCGTCACCGATTTTGCCCCGGAGTTTTCGGGCGGTTTGTTCCGGGGAAAGAATCCCGGGGTCACAGCCACGCTTTTTTTCTTTTTCCTTTTCTTTTTTCTTTTCTGTTCTCTTTTTTTGGCCTGCCATCCCGGTCGCTTTCTTCTTTCTTGACTTCAGGCGCGGGTGCGGCAGCGGAGAGTTTCCGCCCCGGGCTGAAGTGGTGGGACTACAAAGCCCATCGTCCCCCGAAAGAGTATTAAATAAAAATTTTTAAAAAGCCCAGGAATTCCCGGTATACACATGTTTGAAAGTAATTAAACAAGGATTTCTATTAAAAGGACAGCAAAGATCAACATGGAAACACATTTAAAGCCTCCCTCGGTGGGCTTGCTCCCCCCCACCCCCAGACACACACCCAAAAACAGAGCTCCCAAGGGCTGCTTGTGGGGGGCAGGGGGGGATCTGTCAATCATTCCCTGGCGGGACCCGATCCCTCTGCCTCTCGGGCTTTTGCCATCCCCAAGGAGCTGGGATCCCGGAGTTGCCGGGGGGGGGGATGCCCCCGTGGATTTGATCTTCATTCCTTTCTTTAAAATGCTTTCGCCCCTGCCTTTCTCTTTGAAAGGACCCAAGGCAGGCTCAGGTCATGAAAAAAAAAGACAACCCATCAACCCTTTGTAGGGATGCTGAAGGCCAGGAGCAGAGAGAGGGGGCTGCCAAGCTGCTCTTCTTGCTGGGCGGGCGCAAGAGTCTGGGTGCGAGGAGGAGGAGGAGGAGGAGGAAGGCGGGAGGACCCGATCCCTCTGCCTCTCGGGCTTTTGCCATCCCCAAGGAGCTGGGATCCCGGAGTTGCCGGGGGGGGGGGTGCCCCCGTGGCTTTCTTTAAAATGCTTTCGCCCCTGCCTTTCTCTTTGAAAGGACCCAAGGCATGCTCAGGTCATGAAAAAAAAAAAAAAAGACAACCCATCAACCCTTGGTAGGGATGCTGAAGGCCAGGAGCAGAGAGAGGCCTTTGCCCCCGCAGGATGATGATGATGATGATGATGTGGTGGTGCCCAGGGGAACAAGCTGGTTTCGCTTTGGGACTCCTTCAAGAAAGCAATCCAGCGGACGTCGTTAATAATCAGTACAATACGCACACCCATCCTTGGAACGGCGCGTACGAGTGTTCTGGGGAGTCTCCCAGGAAAAGGAGATTGGTGAGCTTGAAAAGGTGCAGAAAATAAAATAAAATAAAACAGATCTCCTATGGGGAGAGAGTGGCTTTGTGACCAAGTGAGGCTACTAACCTAAGGCACAATCCTGTCTCACAATCCACAACTTGCACAACCAGAGCACAACCAGCTCTGGATCAGGCCGAAGGCAGTTAAGCTAGCAGCAGTGACCCTGTTTTGCCGACAGACCGTCCAGTTCTTTCGCAACAGCTCAAAAAGCACTCTTTGGGTTGTGCAACAATGCAACAGGAAGAAAAGGGAAGGGCGGGCAGCCGCATGGCACTGGGAGAGCGTTCCAGGCGGACGGCGTGCATGGAGATCACAAAGATCCAGAATTTGGGAACACAGTTGAGAGGGCAGGGTGTGGAGGACGTCCCGCGGAGCCCTTCAGAGGATGGCAGGGATTGGGCACGCCATGCGATGGGTGGCCCCCCCATGTCACGGGACCCCAGGGGTTTTGCGATGCATGGGCTTGTGGAAGTGGGCCCCCAGTCCCCATGGCGGGTGGAAACGTGGAAGAGTTGAAGGCTCTCCCAGACAATGGAGGGGGCAAGGAAAAGGCCAGGGCCTTTGAACCCTCCTGGTTAGAACCGGTCGCTGCCTCTCCGTCCAAGAAGCACCAGAGTCCACAGAGATCTTCTGGGGGGGGGGGCGGTACTTCTGAACTTTTGACTTTTCCGGCTCGGGTTTCCCCCCCCCCCATCATCTCTGGCAAGCATGACTGCCTGGAGGGTTCAAGGCTGGCGATGAAGAATACTTTAGACCCACAATGACTTTATGAGGAAGGAAAGCTTCCTAGCAAGTATGTGCAAGCCGGTTCCACCTCTGGAGATTCCCTTCACCCCCAAATCATCATCTCTTAAGTTGCTTAAAGTTCTGTGGGGTTTGGTGGCGTCCTCGTGGCCCCCGTACCTGCAGCATCTTTCTTGTCCCCCACACTTTCCCTCTCGTGCCACACGCTCCGGTCCCTGGTAAGGTTGCCCTGCTAATGACAGCCCTATTAAGTTACGGTCCCTGGATAGAGTTTGCCATAGAAACTCAGGCACTTGCCCCACCGGTCTGTAACTGATCCAGGAGCGCCCGAGCCGCCACGAGGGTTCAGGTGGGCAGCGGACTTCGCCCTGAGCTGCTGGCGCTGGCTAGGCCTCGCGCAGGAGAGGTAAGCTTTGCTCAAAAAACGATCCATAGGAGGGGCGGAAAGACACACCGGACGAGACAAAATTCTCGCCAAGGGAAGGGATGCAGAAAGGAAAGGGTCAGCTCCCAGAACTTGACTGAGCTTGCCGTCTCCATCTCGAGACAGGAACTGGACGAGTTAGGAAAATAACTGACGATCAGCATTTATAGGTTTCTGAAACATCAGAAGGACGATGCAGACAGAGGCTGAAACTTATCCCCGAGAAGGGGCAGGGAGTCAGTTTCACCAAAGGTCACATGAGCAAAGGATGAATATCGGAACGCTCCGGCGTGTCTCGTTCCGAGGCTGCTGGCGCATCTGATGAGCGTGAAAAGCTTTTTCGCTAAAACAGGGAGCTTAGGGCAGGCTTCCACGCCCTAATATTTCAGAAGGCAACTCCTGTGTATTCCAACCAGCATGGCTGATGGTGAAAGTTCCCAGAAGCTACTGAGAAGTTAGACCGGCCATTAAGGCTCCAAAGAGGGATAATAATAATAAAATTAAAAAATAAACTCCAACGTTGGCTTCTGTGGTTTGCAAGCAGGCTGGGAGATGCCTCCAGATTAGCCAAAGAGGAAACAGGGGGAGCTGTCTCTCACCCTGAGCCAGACACCGACGCCTTCTGGCCCGCTACTGTCATGCATCCATTCATTCACTTTATTTATAGCTGTTCTTCAGTCCCAATAAAGAGATTCAAGGCAGCTTGTTGGCACCGACTGCCAGCTGCTCTCCAAGGTGGGAGACAGAAGTTTTTCCGACTGAAGATACCAAGGGCTGAACCCAGGGCCTTCTGGATGGAAAGCAGGGGCTCTAACACAGAGCTATGCCCCTTCCCTTGGCGATACCACAAAAGGGCCAACCTTCTGCTTGGGCAAGAGATTTGTGGGTCATGGGGACACCAGCGATGCTTCCCCGGGCTGCCTTGCAAAGAGACAAGACTCCCGCTGAGCAGCAAGAGAGGAGAAGGAAGTTCTGGTTTTGCGCTCAAGTGAGGTGGAGCCTAAATCTGGGCTTCTCTCTCCACCCCATTTTTAATTGGCACCAAGGCTTGTAGGCTTGGTGTGAGGAGGTGGTGTGTGTGCACTGCTGGCCAGCAAGAGGGTCTGGTCTGGGATGGTTAATTCCTGTCTGCCATGTAGGTAAGGCGGCAAGGGATAAAAACCTCACCGGTGACAGAGATGACCCTGGTAGCTTATGGGTGCTGTTTTTCACCTGCCTTGCTGTCCCGAAACGAGCCTTCTTTTTCCTGGACGTTGGCTGCCCAAGCATCCATGTTAGTGGCTCCCCCCCCTCCCTGATCCTGTTTCCTGCCGATTATTCCCATCCAGTGTATATTGTCCATGGCAGAACACCGAGCAACCTTCTCCTACCACTAGCCTGCAAGTAGCAAAGCCCCCTAGAGAGGGTTGTCAGTGAATGAAAGGTGCCAATGTCCTCTCTTTTGGAATCATGCCGTTTGCTAGTTTTCACACCTCCCTCCGGGATGTGTTGCCTCTCTGCTTCCTGTCTGGCACCACCGCTTGGCCATGGCTGGTTTGATCTCACCAGAGGCCTTCCCCTTGCGGCCTCCAACGTGGGTGCTAAGGACTCAGTGGGCATCGCAAAGAGCCTGCAGGATCAACTCCTGTAGTTGTGGTGGGGGGAGGAAGCCCTCCTTATGCTCCCGGCTCTACCTTTGTCCTCCTGAACTTCATAAGGTAGCCAAATCAGCCGTCTTTCGAGCCTCCTTTGCTTCTAATATTTGAGGTGACATCTCGCCGCCACTTTCTTAGCACCCTTCTGCTGCTTTTCTCTCCTCGTGGTGGGAGCCTCTTGCACGCTGCCTTAGCGTCTGTTTCAATTTGTTCGCCCAGCGCCCCGGCCAGCCTCTAATCCAGTTGAGGTCTTGACAGGTCCTAATTCCGCTTAGAAGTCTCCCTTGTCAAATCTCAGACAGGTTTCAGACCTTGCCGGCAGCTCAAAGGCTCAACTTGATTCGCTTTCCTGGAAAAATATTTTCTCTCAAAAGAACCGGCTCCTGTTACTGCTCAGAAAAGAGGGGGGGGGGACACTTTCCAGTTTGGAGGAGAAGAGAACGGAGATCTCTTGAACCACCCATCGGGGACTGAGCTGGACTGCAGGCGAGACCAGGAGGAGCTCTGGGGTGTTCAGTCTCTCCGTGGGCCCAGGACTGGAGTCCCGCCAGCGTTGTCTGCCTGAGAGAGGGACCCGTAGCGCCTCTCCTTTTTGGCTCCATTTGAGGAGGAAGAGCTGCCCGATACGATCCAGGGTGGAGAGAAGGGAAGGCGCTCTGGATCCTTCAGAGAAATGGCCGGGACCCGGGTAGGACCTCAGGCAGAGTCTAATGGCCAGCCAGTTCTGTAAGTTTTCCCTGGAACCGGGGAGGGGAGAGGGTGCTAGTCCCTGGGTGATGACCTGCCTTGTGCTCAGTGAGACCTTTGGACCCTCCAGCACAGACTACGGGCCCAGGGATGGCTTTCCAGGGTTTCGGGTGTGGCTCTGTCTCAGTGACACCTGGAGAGAATGAGAAGAGAGAAAACTCCAAGGCCTTTTGTGCCAGCCAGGTATTCGGCTTTGCATCCATGCACATAAATGAGCACCCACCATTTTATGCAAACCCATATCCTCTTCCAGATGTGTTCTGAGAAAAGCATGGTTTCCCTTTTTTGGCGATGGGGAACTCACTATCCTAAATGCAAATCTGGTGTAAAGATGAAGATTGGGAAGGAGGGAGAGGAGCGGAGAACTCTGCAAGGTGCCCGTCCTTCATAGGTAGCAACACCCGGACAACAGCCCTTTCCTTATGATTTGCACCCCCTTGCAAATATTGGAGGTGGACCAGATAGGCTGACACGGCATCAGCCTCTGTCTCGTGGCTTTGGGGCAGTGGTACCTCAAGAAGCCATGGGAGATGTGGCTTTTCAGGATGGTTGTGAGGGAGAACAGAGAGGTGGCACAGAAAGAAAGGATTCCAGCCTGTGATTTGTGACTGCTTTTAGCCGAGCACGTTTTCCCCGACACAAACGCCTCCACCATCTCTCGCAGACTTTCCCACTTGCTGGTGTTTCTAGAGATGCTGATGCCATGTGTGGAATAAATAAAAGCAATAACAAAGAGTTCTCTTGAGAGAAGGAGAGGTTAGATCAAACAACAGCAACAGCTGAAAAGCTGGGTGCAGATTTTCCAGCAAAGATCAAAAGACAGTTAAATGGGCAGGGAATGAATCGCTTTGGAGACCCTTCCAGTTTTCTCCAGGAAGGAAGAGGGCTTTTCCCTGGATCTTTGGTCCTCCTGCTCTGGGATGGATCACCTTCTCCATATTCCCCTTTCGGTGGGGGTGGGGGCAGAGGAGAACCAGTCTCAGATGCAGCTCCTTCCCTGTCTTCTTTTCCAGTTACCACCATGGCTGTTACCAACCACAGGTGGCCGGAGAAGTTTGGTTTTAGGATCGGCGGAAATGGGCCGTGTTACATCTTCAACAGCCCTTTCCTTATGATTTGCACCCCCTTGCAAATATTGGAGGTGGACCAGATAGGCTGACATGGCATCAGCCTCTGTCTCATGGCTTTGGGGCAGTGGTACCTCAAGAAGCCATGGGAGATGTGGCTTTTCAGGATGGTTGTGAGGGAGAACAGAGAGGTGGCACAGAAAGAAAGGATTCCAGCCTGTGATTTGTGACTGCTTTTAGCCGTGGGACATGTGGCTTTTCAGGATGGGTGTGAGGGAGAACAGAGAGGTGGCCCAGAAAGAAAGGATTCCAGAGTCCTGAATCAGCCTGTGATTTGTGACTGCTTTTAGCCGAGCACGTTTTCCCTGACACAAACGCCTCCACCATCTCTTGCAGACTTTCCCACTTGCTAGTGTTTCTAGAGATGCTGATGCCATGTGCAGAATAAATAAAAGCAATAACAAAGGGTTCTCTTGAGAGAGGGAAAAGTTAGATCAAACAACAGCAACAGCTGAAAAGCTGGGTGCAGATTTTCCAGCAAAGATCAAAAGACAGTTAAATGGGCAGGGAATGAATCGCTTTGGAGACCCTTCCAGTTTTCTCCAGGAAGGAAGAGGGCTTTTCCCTGGATCTTTGGTCCTCCTGCTCTGGGATGGATCACCTTCTCCATATTCCCCTTTCGGTGGGGGTGGGGGCAGAGGAGAACCAGTCTCAGATGCAGCTCCTTCCCTGTCTTCTTTTCCAGTTACCACCATGGCTGTTACCAACCACAGGTGGCCGGAGAAGTTTGGTTTTAGGATCGGCGGAAATGGGCCGTGTTACATCTTGGCCGTGGACGAGGGCAGCAGTGCCCAGCTGGCCGGACTTCAGCCCGGAGACCAGATCCTGGAGATTGAAGGCCAGCCGGTGTCTTCCCTGGATTGTGAGGCGCTCATGGCCTTGGCCAGGCAGTGCGAGAACGTCCCGCCCAGCATCGGTGTGGTCTCCCGGGCCCATCAGGTGGACCTCAGCCCTGGCCACGCGGGGCAGTTCGGCTTCACCTTGACAGGCGATGGGGAGGGTCCCTTGCAGGTAAGGTGGCACCCCGCATCCCCATGGGAAGGATTCCCCGAGAGTGGTCCTTCATTGGAAGGTGTCCCCGATGGGGGAAAATGACCAGCCTTTGCCTGGTTTCAAAAGAAAGGCCAGCAACAAGGCAGCAGCCAGCTCCTGAGAGCTCAAGCTGGCCCTACCAAGAGGGCAGACAATGAAACACACTCTACATTTGTTTAAACTGAAGGAATCCTTTCTGGTTTTGCAAAATCATTTCTGACTGTACATCAGCATGTGCCGTTTTATGCGTGCCTGCATTTTTCTCTGCCTGGGCATGTCTTCATTTTTGGGTGGTGGATGTCTGCTTCTCTGGGCCTCCGTGGACCAATGGACCTGGTCTTTGCAGGTAGAGAGTGTGGCCCCCGGGTCCCCTGCCTCTGAATGTGGGGTCAAAGCCGGAGACTATGTGCTGGAAGTCAATGGGAGCCCCGTGAAGTGCTACGAAGAGGCAGCGGTCCTGATCCACGCTTGCCAGGGGCACAGCCTCCGTCTGAGGCTCTTCCAGATGGGGCACCTTCAGAGGTGGGCCAGTGGCAACGTGCGGGCCTTTGTCCAGAGTGCGGACGCCATCCACCAGGAGAGGAGGCAGAAAGCCAAGGAGTTCAGCAATAAGGTAAGCAGAGAGTGACCGAGAGACAGGCGTCCCTCTGTCTCTCTCCAACTTTCTGCTCAGGGCAGGACAGGAAGAGGTGCAGGCTTCAATCCCTGACCCTTGATTCCATCCAACACAGCTTTTACTTTGGCTTGGGCTAGAAATAGGGATTAAAAATGGCAATATACCAAACGTAGCTGCAGGGTAGCTCAGCGGTTTAGGCATCAGGCAGAGAGTTTGGTTCCCCCCCCCCTTGGGCCTCCTTGACAGACTCCATGATCCAGAGGGTGCCTTCCAGCTCTGCCGTTCTAAGATGATGATTATAATGATCTTCGTCATGGGTTGGAAGGGACGTCTCGTGGAGAGTGACCGAGAGACAGGCGTCCGTCCATGAAACCTCACATTGAAATACAGTATAGCAGTTAGTCTTGCCACAACATTTTTGTCTTTTTTAATTTTTGATTATAATGATCTTCGTCATGGGTTGGAAGGGACGTCTCGTGCTTATAGCCAACACCACGTGTCCTGCTTGTTAAGAATTGGTCATTTTAGTTGACTTTTTAGATCTGAGGAGGTGGACCATGAAACCTCACATTGAAATACAGTATAGCAGTTAGTCTTGCCACAACATTTTTGTCTTTTTTAATTTTTCTGTGGTTTTGGCCTGATGATCTTCGTCATGGGTTGGAAGGGACGTCTCGTGCTTATAGCCAACACCACGTGTCCTGCTTGTTAAGAATTGGTCATTTTAGTTGACTTTTTAGATCTGAGGAGGTGGACCATGAAACCTCACATTGAAATACAGTATAGCAGTTAGTCTTGCCACAACATTTTTGTCTTTTTTAATTTTTCTGTGGTTTTGGCCTGAGGCCCCTTCCGGATTTTCCTTTTCTGGGCAAGACATGCAGAAATCTTGGCCCCCTTTTTCTTAAGGCCAACCTCTCTGGCCTGGAAGTCCCTAACCCTAGCCTGCTCGTTCCATTCCTTTCTGAAGACACTGCTGCTCGCTGACTCAGAGGGGCCGTCACTCTTGGGCTTCCCCGGGGTGCAGGATGACCCTGAGGACCTTTCCCCAGCCCACTTCTCCCTTGTCCAACCTCCCCACCTGGCCACAACAGACAAGGGGAGTGGCCCTTCAATAAGCAGGTATGGCGTTGGAGCAGAGAAGGTTTGGTAGAAACCCTTTCTTAGCTGATGTTCTGGGAACACTGGAGATCTGGCTTTGAATTCCCCCTCAGCTACAGAAACCTATGGGACTTGAGGGCACATAAAAACAGCAAAGCCATTGGGTTAAAACTCCCACCAGTCTCGGGGAAAGGAGGGTCACCTGGAGCCATAGAATCACTCTCCATGGTGCTGAAACCCAACCTCCCTGGCTGGGTCCAGCAGCGCTGGCCATGGTGCTGAAACTGCCCTGCCTAAAGTCTCTCTCCCCACCCTCCCCCACCCCCATGACTGCTCTGAAGAAGAAGAAGATGATGATGATGATGATGATGATAATGAAGAAGAAGAAGAAGAAGTAGTAGTTTGACATTGCAGTTCTGGGAAATGCCAGAGTTGAAGATAAAGAATTGGAAAATTAACAAAATATGGAGACCTGGCCATAGAAATGGCTCGCTTCTGGATGAGGGTCCCCGCCATCATTGAGGCATTGGAAACAATGCCATGAAAATACTATAACCAGCTGCAGTTGTCTGAAATAATGCCATCAGAGCTGCAAAAAACATCAATACGTATTAGGAACGGCACGCGTATTACACTGATATTTAAAAGATACTTAGGTTCGTAGTTAGAACGTGTCTCTGTTATGGAGTAGCAGTCAAAGACTCTTTTTGAATAAGTAACACGCTTCTGTGTACAGGTGCAGGAGATCCTGGGAGACCAGCCGGACCGAAAGGAAAAGATGTTCACCACCCTGAAGCAATATGCGGCGGAGCGGAAGGTCGACTATTTGGCCCACGCCCTCTCTGCCATCCTCACTGAGGATTCCCACCAGCCTCTCATAGATAATATCAGGTATGGAGGTTTGGCCAACCCTTCTTAGATTATGGTTTTTGAGACAACAACGTGTGTGTGATTCTGCTCAGGAAGGATCTGCAGGTGGTTGCTGAACACAGGTGTCCAAGCTATGGAATGATCACACTCCGGCATGTCGGAGGTTTTTTGTTTGTTTGTTTTTTAATGCATTGAGTTGCTTGTTACTTGACGGCAGACCGGTTATTGTTTACTGTTGCTGTGCTCCCCTAATTAATTTGTTAGGTTGCATCTCACGCATGCTTTGTGTGGCTGTTTCCCGCACATTGGAAAATACAGAAAAGCACTCTCTGGTTCCCCCTAGTGGCCAATTCTCATACTCCACCTGGAAAATATTTCTGAAAGTGTAAAACAAAGCCAGTCCCTCCCCTGCTACTTGGAATTGATAAGAGACCAGGATAAGCTTCAGGCAAAGTCCCTCCAAGGTCCTCCTAGCATAAATTGGTGTGCCCAGAATTTTGGCATCAGAGTCCGGACATCCCCAGGAGAGTTTGCAAAGGAAATGTGGCTAACTCGCTTAGAGAGAAGCTAAAGTAGAAAGTCCAGCCAGTTCCAGGGGTGGGGTGGGGATCCTTCTGAGGTTTTCCTCCTCCTCCTCCTCTTACTCACAGGGGGTCCTTTATGTCTCCAGAGCAGCCATCTGTTCCTCTGAGAAGATGGCAGTTGCCACAAAGGGCTCTGGACGGCTTGAGAGGCAGCACAAGGGGAGAGAAAGGCTCACCCCAAGGATGCAGTCCAGTTCCATCAAAGTGCAAAATGGCTTTCTGGTGGGTCAGAAGGCCCAACAGTCCTGCCTCTGTCAAGAGTGGCTCTGTGCACACTATTTCTTGGCAGTCAACATGCACCGCTCCCATTCAATAAGACTTGCCCACAGGGGCTAACTCCCCAGCCGGCTGGCTGACCTGGAGGGCCCTCTGTGTAGGATTCCCCTCCACCCCAGATCTGTAGATGTGATTGCCAGTCCAGCATCCTCTCCCCCCCCCTTTTTTTTTTTTTTGCAACCAGGGGCATTGCTCTGTGATGGGGTGCCATCTGCACGTGAGGCTGACCGAGAGGATTACAGGCGTGGCCATTAGGCAATGAAGCCTCCACCTGGCTCTGTTGTCCCGCTTCTCCCTTCTAATCTGTGGGACAGAGGAATGGAGGTTTCCAGGACAGCCTCGCCAAGGGAGGGTGGTGCCAACCCTCAGCTCCCAAACCAGCCCAAACCTGTAACCCAGTTCTTGCTGGCATTCCAGGACAGCCTCGCCAAGGGAGGGCGGTGCCAACCCTTCCTAGCCTCAGCCCCCAAACCAACCCAAACCTGTAACCCAGTTCTTGCTGGCATGTGATTCTCTTGCAAGGGAGGATATGTGGCTTAGCTGAGCGGGACGTCCCTCCAGCTCGTTCTTGTTCTACTTGAATTGCAAGAAGCTCCCCGGTGTCTTTCCCGGCCTCATTAACTGCGATGCTCAATGAATAAAGAAGCCAGGGTCCCAGCGATTCTCTTGCAAGGGAGGATATGTGACTTAGCTGAGCGGGATGTCCCTCCAGTTCGTTCCTGTTCTACTTGAATTGCGAGAAGCTCCCCCAGTGTCTTTCCCGGCCTCATTAACTGCGACGCTCAATGAATAAAGAAGCCAGGGTCCCAGCTGAGTTTCCTTGCCTTGCAAATTTCGTGGAAGTTTCCAAACCCAGCAAAGACTGAAACGTCTCTAAGCACACCCGTCGCGCAGAGAGCTTCCATGGGCTGCCCGTGCTGGTCGAATGATTCTGGTAGTTAGTGTCCTAACAAGGAATTTATCTAACTGCTGGAAAGCTGAACTAAATCAGGGTGTCTTTCTTGGGCATCAAAACAACAACTTTTGGGTCATTTTAAAAAAATGTACAATGAGAGGATGGATGTCTCAGAGGACCATCTTCCTGTGGCTGTAATAAGGAGATGAGTGTGGCTCTCTCGAGAATCATTTCGCTCAGGGGTTGAGGCCTCTGGCCGTGGAGCCAGAGGTTGGGAGTTCGATTCCCCCACTGGGACTCCTTGAAAGGGGCTAGACTAGATGATCCTTAGGGGTCCCTTCCAGTTCTGCACGTCACAGATTATTATTATTTATTTATTTTCCAAGGGGGGTCAAAGCCCCCTGTTCCCACAAAAAGATTTCTACCCTCTAATCTGCTCTGATGAAATGAGCTGCAGAGGGGGAGGGGAGGGAAGGAAAAGAAGCTGTGCTTTTCAAATGCCTTTTTTCCGTCCCTAGCTGACCTTCTGGAAAAGCAGGACATTTTCTCACTGGGACCTTAGGCCTGGACCCTCTGTTTGCTGACATAGGGACATCCTTGGTTGCTTCCCTGCTGCCCCCCAGCCCTAGGGTGTGTGTGTGTGTGTGTGTTGGGGGGGGTAAGGTTGCTGGACTGCATGAGAGAGAGAGAGAGAGAGAGAGAGAGAGAGAGAGAGAGAGAGCTGCTTAAGATCATGGAATGGAGATCAGGAGGAAACCTGGCCTCTTTGCCTCTTCTGGGGCCAACCATAGCAAGGCAGCTGAATGGGATGCCATGGCTGGGCTCTTCCTTCTGCACCAACCCGCCTACTTGCATGGTGGAACTGGGCTCTCCATCCTCAGATCTTGCTGTGTTCGGTGTGCCCAGCCATGCAGCCAAGAACCTCCCCGATCTCTCTTCATGGCTGCCTTTGAAGGTGGGGTGAGGGGGGCACCTCATCTCTGCTCTGGGCAGCCTCCTCTGTTCCCCCCCATCTCCCTCTTCCTTGCATGATTGGGGAGCTTAAGACCTTGCTTTGAAAGCATTTTGTTTACGGCTGCTTTTGGGACCCCCTGCAGCTGCTACACGCCAAATCCTCTTGCTGGATAAAAAAAAAATCCCAAAAGAAAACAAAGCCTTCTCACAGTGACAGGATAGCTCCCCCCGCCCCCCTCCCGCACCTTTAATCACTGCTATTTGTTTGTTTATGTGTTTTCCTCCTTTTCTTTCTGGAAGATCCGGTGGATTTCCACCCATTTATCCAGAATTAAGCTCTTTCCGATTTTAATTTGCTGACATTTTCTTGATCCCTTTGGAGATAAAGCGCGCTGTCGCTCCTGGTTCCTCGCTGCGCCTCGCTCCCATCTCCAAGCCTTCCCCCCCCTCGCCCGCCACCCTCCCTGCCATATGGTTTGCAGACCTTACGAAAGTGTGCAGGGCGAGCGCTCCTGTTCAAAGATGTGGGGACAGACCAGCAGCGGAAGGAGGAGAAGCAGCACATGAGGAAGATGAGCTGCCTTGGGTGAGTAGGGGGCAAAACGGTCCTTTGGGGTACAGGAGGAGCGACCCAGAGAGAGAGAGAGAGAGAGAGAAATAGCGATAGAAATCTCAGCACGAGTCTACTTGGATCCACTTAATTCTGCAGTGAGCGGCAATCCAATGACATCTGCAAGAAGGGTCCCTTATCTCTCAGTATCCTTCGGAGGGAATTCTCCCCCCCCCAAATGCCTCTAAAAAGCCTTTTTGTGGACAGGATCGTGCCAGGTGAAAAGGCAAGGGAGGTATTTATTTCGGGCTGGGCTCTCTGGTGCAGGCTGGCCGATGGGACCGAGGGTCTTTATCGGGGGGCCAGAGCGCTCCACGCCGGAAGAGATTTCAGCCTCCAGTTGCCAGGGGAACAGTGTCACAGACACTGCAGGGTTCATGTCATACATCAAGGTCAAGGGTGGCCAGATGTCACGGCGAGGGCCAGCGGTTGGGATGATGGAGGCTGGAAGCAGGCGGTGACTTCAGGAGCCTTTCAAGTCTGCGGGGCAACCAGCGACAGAGCACGGAGGGCCACGCTCTTTTCTATTTTGTTGTCTTTAAGCGTCCTTTTAAATAGCAGTTCTGGGTTCACAACAATGGGGTCCATGATGCAAACCTGCTCCGTCGTTTCCGTGGATTTGAACTTGTTTTTTTTTGCAGAGAGCAGGCAAGTAACATTCATAAACAAGGTCAGTCTCCCCAACCTCTTAACCTTAGAATCCAAAGGAGGGTGGGGGACATCCCTCCCCCTCCCCGTAGACAACACAACTTAGAGTGGTGCAGAAGGACATAAGTTTCGGTTTTCAGAGAGTCGACCAGAGGTAGCAGGCTCGGCTACGAGACCTGTGGAGACCCGTAGTCCATTTTGAACCATGCAGATTTCTCAGCTTCTGTCAGGATCGGTGCCAGCAATTCCGCTATTTATCACCCGGTTGTCACATCAAAGCAGTGCGCCTGAAATATTGCTAGCTTTCCCTCCGACTGAATGAAGAAGCCTGTGCAACTCAAAACCTTGTGGGTTCTTTCATTAACTCAGGCCAGTCTAACGTAAGGCTGTTGATCGTATCTATTGCGTTATCCTCTCCCTTTCCAGGGCTGCTTTAGCAACATGCTGGATCCTATCAGAGCAGGGCCGTTGATTGCTGTCTTTCTTTGTTTTTCCTGTTTTAGGACTTCTTCAGTTAGAGAACCAGATGGTATCCCTTTTAGGGACAGTATTGTTCATCGTTATGGTGTAGGAAGCAACCCTCACAAAACGGACAGAGTCCCTGCTTTGCATGGCTCAGTCATAGACATGATCTCTCCAACATGTTTGGGAAGGGATCCCAAGCAGCTGAAAAGCCAGGGATCACATGTCTTTTTGAATAGATCATTTGGGTAGATGTTCTTGGACTATCCGGATATGGGAAAGACTAAAACTCCCATAATCCCCCAGGCCGTCTGGTCGGTACCCATACCGGCTGCAGGATCCTCAGACAGGGCTTGGAGTCAATGCTTTTTGGACTACATGTCCCAGAATTCCCTGAGTCATGAGGTTGTAAGTTGTAGTCCAAACAAGAAAAGTTACCATCATTTGGGTGCATGTTCTTGGACTATCCGGATATGGGAAAGACTAAAACTCCCATAATCCCCCAGGCCGTCTGGTCGGTACCCATACCGGCTGCAGGATCCTCAGACAGGGCTTGGAGTCAATGCTTTTTGGACTACATGTCCCAGAATTCCCTGAGTCATGAGGTTGTAAGTTGTAGTCCAAACAAGAAAAGTTACCAAGCTCCGCCTAAAGAAGTAACGCCTCCATCTTTAGGTGTTGCTCAAGGCTCAGAAATGGGTGGCCTTTGACCGAACGGGTCCCTCTGGGTTGCACGCGTGGCGTTGCAAGTTTGTCCCAAGAAAACGGAGGGCAGGAATGTGGCCTCTTCCAAGATTCCCTGGGATTGACGCTGATGTGGGCCAAACCCTTCCACCTCTTGGAAATTAAATGTCAACCAAATTGACAAAATGCTTGTTTAAACTTGGACTAGAATTGCTTAACCAGCAGTGGAGAGAGAGAGAGAGAGAGAGAGAGGTGTATATACATCTATGTTTTGCACAGTTCTTTCAAGGTACAGTACGTGTCATTTGGAAGCATCTTTTATCCAGGGGGGCTGTGTATATACGTCTATGTTTTGCACAGTTCTTTCAAGCTACAGTACATGTACTGTAATTTGGAAGCATCTTTTATCCAGGGGGGCTCCAGAGACCTCTCAGCAGGACTTGCAGGCTTGAATATATCCCTCCTTGTCTTTTCCTCTCCCCCCAAGGTCCCCCTTCCAGAAGCCGGCATGCATGCCCTACATTTCCATGGACATTCATCTTTCTTGGTTGCTTTTTAAAACACTGACAGGCAAGGAAAACTGATGGGTGGCGTCAAACTGCCTCTGTCTCTTCCATCTGACTGTTCTCTCCCTCTCTCTCTCTCTTTTCAGGGACTTTTAGGGGACAAAGTCTTTCAGAACCAGGCCACTTTCAGCCCCCTGACAGAGATTACATCTCTTTCCACTGGGAATTCTCTAATTACGGGGTTGGGGGGAGGGGAGAAATGCCTTTGAGCTCGTTTTAGTAATAGGTGAAATGCAATCCACTTTCTCCACCATCCCCTGCCCTTTAGATCTTTGGGATGAGGAGTAATTCTTCAGAATGCCGTGGGGGGGGATCAAAATCTCTCTCTTCCCCCCACCCCCCACCCCCAAATGCATGAAACTTGATGGCTTAAGTCACACACTCCAATTAGGAAAGGAACGAGGATGATTCGGGCTATGTCACTGCCCACCTACCCCCGGGAAAAATGGGCGATTATACCCAGGTGAACCCAGGAGAGCAAAGGGCCTTCCAAAGTGCACCTCAGAAATTAATCTTCCTTCATTGGGATGTGCTGATGAAGTTGGTGTCCAAAATGGCATTATTTAAGGAGGGCCTTCTGCCCTGTTTATGCACCAAGTTCTGAATCATGCTGGGGAAAACCCTACAGTTTTTCTTCAACTTGACTTCTCTCTGGACAATTTGTCGTTTTATTAGGGGAGGTATTGATAGATCCCAGCTGGCAAGAAGGCAGAACCCAGCACCTCAACCGGGTTCTGCCAGCAGGCAGTTTCCATTCCTCCCTCCTGCCTTCTGGGTCAGTCGATGTGTGAAGGCTTCCTTGGCTCCTACCACATGGAGGGCTAGGGTTAGAGTTAGGGTCTTCGGAGTACCTACCCGCTGCATCATCACCGAGGCCATCTTGTAAGAGAATTCAGAAAGCCAGCCCGGACCAGCCCTTCAGTGGGACACCCTACTCCCTCCTCCCGCCCCCACCGAAAGGCAGAACACACCATCCAGGGCTGAAATCCCTGCTTCGGAGCTCAGCTTGGCCAGGAGTAGAGCAGATTGGTTTGTTGGCCTGCGTTGAAGCGAGCAGTTGGTGACAGAAGGGGGCTGCCTGCCAGCTCTGCTTGGCCTCTTCGTAGAGCATCATCGGCCTTCCCTCCCTCCCTCCCCACACCAATCTCCATCTCTCCCTGCTGTTCCTCTGCCAGGATTGCCCTTTGGAAGATGGGGAAGGACAAAATCATCATCCTCGTGTATGAAATGACCGGCAGCGGTGGGGGGGGGAGCTGGGATCTTCTCTGGTTACCCAGAGGGTGCTCAGCGCCCCCATTTTCAACCCTCCCCTCCCATCTCTGACCTCTCTCTCTCTCTCTCTCTCTGGAAAGGATCACATTATGGCTTTCTCTGATGAATCCTCACGGATTCTGGAAAGGATCACATTATGGCTTTCTCAGCAGCGGCAGCGGCCAAGAGACGGGGTGGCTGCCTCTTAACCGGGAAGGTCACCCCTTCATGGGCAGTCCCATGCACACGCTTCTCCATGGATCTTTCCCCTAGCGTTTCGCCCTGGGGGTGGGGGAGCAGAGCAGATGGCAGCAGGGGGTCAGCCAGGATGGGATTAATGCAAGGCGGGGGTTGCCCTACAAAACCTGGGACACCCCTTTCCCCTCCCCGTGGAGGGCACGGCGCGGTCATCCGTCTCCACCCAGACTCCTGTGCTGTTATTGTTTTGCAGCAGAAATAGTGGCCACCACCCTCTGGGGGCAAAGCGACAGGCCATCACCAACGTCAAGGAACCTTTTGGTGACCTCACGACACCCATGCTCTAGAGGAAAAGCAGGAGGGGGTCTTTTCCTGCACACAAGCCTCTCTGCCCCTCCTGGAGCTTGGGATAGTAATCTAAGCTGAGAACTGCAGAGTTGGAAGGGACCCCGAGGGTCATCCAGTCCAGCCCCTATCGAGGAAGCACAGAAGGGGAATCGAACTCCCAACCTCTGGCTCTGCAGCCAGAGGCCTAAAACCACTGAGCGATTCAGCGGTTCGGACTCAAAATGGGGGTGGAGAGCCAGCTTTGAGACTGTGCATCAAACTATGTGTTGATATCATTGCTTCTTATTTTTGAGTGGTGTGTGGTGGTAACCTTACTGTCATCACGACTTTATCACGACGGCTAACCTTTAATTGGCTGCCCAGGGCTGTCTTCTCTTTCTGTGATTAGTGTTAATGTTCCATTCTCGTATTGTTGTTATTGTTATTGTTTACCTTCAATGGTTTAAAGGTTATGCCTTGCGTAAGGATGTGAGTCAGGGAAGAGAATATCAGGAAGTGCCACAGATAACAGACTGGACATGCTCCTCTTTTTTTTTGACTAGAACTCCCATAATCCCCAACTGGCATGGGGATTGTAGTCCAAAAAAAGGCACGCTCTTTGTGGATTACCAGCAAGACGGTGCCCTGGGTCCAAGATGGTCATTGCAATGGTGTGAGCTGGCCCATGGCTTGGGCTAGCGGGTTGTGGCCCTTGTGCGGAGACCTCGCCCTTCTCCACCCCCCAACTCCCAAGCTGACAGCCTGGCCAGGTTTCCCTACCACCAGCTCAGCGTAATCCAGCCGGGTGCGGCGTTTTTAATCCTTGGCTCCCTGTGCAGCTGACAAGTCCGCCCTGCGCTTAAGCCCCTTTGGCAGTGAAGAAGCATCCCTCTGCCCCTCCCCCTCGGCCATTCCGCTCTCTGGTCAGGAGTGACCCTGAACAAGGAAGCCCAAAGACACCCCCTCCGGTGAAACAAACTGAGCCACTTCTCCCGCACAAGCCCAGCTCAAAAGGGATGGAGATCGATCAGCCAGCTGCGCTTGACCATCTCCGTGAATTGTCCTTGTCCGCTCAGGGGGTGTCTTAGGCATGCAAAGCATGCAATGCGATGGCTGCAGAAAGTGGTAGAAGCATATGAGAAATCTCAGCTTCTAATAACAAGTTGTCTATAATGTACGGTTTGGCCCTCAATATATATGCCAAGGCTGCCCGGAGTTGTTTCTTAACCTGGCAGAATATGAACTAGGGTCTGGTTAGCAAACCAGTACATTGCTGTTCATCTCTCCCTCCCTCTCCCTCTCTCTCTCTTTGCAAGTGGAAAAGAGGCTGGGGGTGGGGGTGGGAGAGAAAGAGACCGTTTTGGTGTATTTTTGACCCCATATCTGAGGAGAGTGAATGCATGACCCAATTCTTGGTCCAAAAGGATAAGAACATTCTTTTTGCAATGTCTGATCGGTGGAAGCTGTGTTCGCACAAAAGCAAGAGAGCCCTCTAGTGTCATGTTAGGATCCTAGACCAGGGCCTGGGGGATTCGGGTTCGAATCCCTGCGCGGCCACGAAACTGACCTCCTCTCTGATCTACCTCACAAGGTTGTTGACGGAAAGGTGGGAAGGTAGAAGGAGTGTTATTTGGAAACCAGTTTGCTTCGTGGAGCGAATGGGCCTCCTGCGCAGAAACACAGGATTCATTTGGACGCCTGATCCCTGAGAACTATGACTCTGTCCAAATCATGTATCTAGGACACTCATGTGGCTTCACCTAGAATGATACGTTGTGTGTAGCGCGGCCTTCAGAGCATCCAGACGGTTCCTACCCGAGGCTGCCAAAGGCTGGGGTGCCCTCCGCTGCTCTGCCATGCGTGGGCGGGGTTGGCGTGGGTGCCCGCGCACTGGCACGGCGGGCGCAGCCGAGATGCCTTCCAAAGGGGTTGGACAAGAGATGGGTGAGCTCATCGTAATTTTGCTGTCAGGTTTGAGCAAGTCGAAAACACCATCTGGGAGGAAAGCTTTTAAAAATACCCTGCGCTTTGCAGCAGGCTGGCAAACTCCGATGCCCGTAGTACACACAGACACGTTCCTGCTTCCTACATGGATAGCCAGGGAAACATTCGCTGTCTAATGAAGGCAAGCCTTCGCGAATACATTGCAACCGATCGTACTTGTCATGAGGACCTGCCCCCGAAGCAAATCCTTTTCATCAGGGGTGGGCACGCTTGTCTAGAGGGTGGCAGGATCAAACTCCTGGGAGGAGCGGCACGCAGTTGCTGGAAGAGCAGCCGGGCCAGAGAGCTGGGGGAGGAAGGTGTGCTCCACAACCCCCACCCACATCTCCAAGCTGTCTCTGCTTGAAGGGTTTGGATGGCTGCCTGTAGCCGAGCGGGTGGACCAAATCTGAGCTCTCCGCCACAGCCCTGACGCCTGTCCCTTGTCATGTCCCCCAGGATCTTCATCCCCAGGAAACACCGGCAGCGCTTCGACGAGGTGGTCTCCCAAAGCCTCATCAGTAAGCTGTGCCGGGCCAGGACCGAGCCGCCGGCCCGCCGGCTGAGACGGAGCCGCAGCGAGGACCACCCCGAGCGGCTCCTGGTCTCCACCCGGGCCAGCTCCTTGCCACGCAGCCACGAAGAAAGCGCCAAGGGCCTGAGGAAGGCCACCTCCCTGATCGCCAGCAATGTGGGGTCGGGGGCAGCTTGCAGGCAAGTCTCCTTCGGCCAGACTTTTCCCTTCCACGCTTCCCACCCACCCACCACCAGCCGGGTCGACAGCAGGCATCTTGCTCCCTTGTGTAAAGGACTTGGAAATGACGTGAATCAGGTCCAGGAAGGCGGAAGCTGTCCGCAGAAAAAACCTCTCTCTGTTTTTTAAAAAATGCAAGTTGTCCAATAAATCTCCCAGCCATTGAATATCTTAATTTATTGAATAATGATGTACCACCAAGGTGATTCCTAGTGACGGCACCCCTCCGAGGATTGCCTAGGTGTGAAGTTCTCAGAAAGGGGCTTCCCAGACCCTCCTTCCGGTGGCATTTATGGGACTACCGTGTCACTTGCCCAAGGCTGCACAGGTGCCAGTCCATGTAATCCCATCAGCCACAGCCATTGAATATCTTAATTTATTGAATAATGATGTACCACCAAGGTGATTCCTAGTGACGGCACCCCTCCGAGGATTGCCTAGGTGTGAAGTTCTCAGAAAGGGGCTTCCCAGACCCTCCTTCCGGTGGCATTTATGGGACTACCGTGTCACTTGCCCAAGGCTGCACAGGTGCCAGTCCATGTAATCCCATCAGCCACAGCACAGGTTAATAATTAATAACTGTGTCCCATCAAGTCAATTCTACCGTATGATAACCCTTTCCAGGGTTGTTGTTTTTTGGGGGAGGGGTGTATAGAGCCTTCAAAAGTAGCTCACCTTTTCCTTATTCTGGGGGTGGCCTGGGCCTGCGTGCAGCTTGCTCAGAGTCCCACCAGGTTGGCTCTTCTCCCGAGAGGCCCATTTGGGGAATCGAACCCCCAACCACTGGCTGACCCCGGGGAGAGCTAGCCAGCCAGCCAGCTCAGGGTGATCTGAGCCAGCGCGAAGGGCAAAGGCCAGGGTCCTGTTGAGCTGCGGAGGACACTCGCCGGTGTGTGTGGGGGGGAGGCATCAAGAGCGGAGGACCGTGGGCTTCGAAGCAGGTCTGGGGCGGCTTGACCCGCCTGGCTCATGAGGGCTGGCTGGCTGGGGCCAGTGACAGCATATGGGCTCTGCGGCTTTCACGGCATGTATCCTTGTCTTCCTCAAAGGCTATTCCTTGGAGAGAGAACACCTGCTTTGCTGGTGGCAGGTCCCTGCTTCAGTCATAGGTGTCTGCAGGTAGCGCGAGGAAGGAGACTTTCCTAAAAGCCTGGAGGGCAGCCCCAGTGGGAGCAGTGGTCGACCTGGTCCAGAGTCCTAACTCTCTATGCACCCTATGGCTAGGAGAGAGTGTTTGAGTTTGGGGCCAAAGGGCCAAAGGGCCAGAGTGCCCGGGAAAGCTTTTTGGGGTTGGTTCTCCTCTCCCCCAGTATCACACACATGATGGATGCAGAAGGAGGGGGCTGGGGAGGGAGTTTCTTAACCAGGGAGAAGAAAGGACTGGGTTTCCATTCCCTGTGGGTCACCCCAAAACTCCGGACAGATCCAGGAGAGAATTGGAAATGCCCTTCGATGTCAATCCGCTTATTTTATTGCCGGCCTTTTGCTTCCATGGTCCTTCAGAAGCTTTTCTGCAAACCTAAGGACTAGTAACTTACTTTCCTCCTCCCTGCACCCAGGACCATCCGTGTTTACAAAGGCAGCAGGAGCTTCGGTTTTACTCTGCGCGGCCATTCCCCGGTGTGGATCGAGTCCGTCTTGCCTGGTAAGTGGGGGCTGCCATTTCTCGCATTTAAAAAAAAAAAGCAAAACATGTTTACAACATTAGCCTGAGCCCCTGGTTGCATCTGTTTTCTCTGCATAAATATGGATGCTTTGCTTACTGCAAAATAAGGCCACCTGTTCTCCTTGTCGAGGGGAGAATCGCAGATGTGAAATCACCAGATCGGGGTGCTGCTTCCCTGCTTCTGGAAATGCTTGGCATCCCTGGACCCAGAGCGAGGAGAAGCTCCTTTTTGGGGGGATGGCCCACGAGAATTCCTCAGCCAGCATGCCACATGTCTGTCCGACTGGGGGGTTGTGGGAGTTGTAGTTAAAAGCAGTAATGTCTCCAGAACGTTGGTCCAGGGCTCCAAGAGGATGCTAAAAGAGATCTCATTAAAGGAGGCTTTTCAGTCATTAGAAATTCTGGGATGGGGCAGGAGTGGGGCCAGCCAGTGTGAGAGGGAACACCATGGGGCTGGTAGGAGCAGGTGAATATTGGGGAACACAAGTCCTTCCTCTCTTTCAAAGCTGGAGAATGGCGGCAGACAAGATTTGCAGGCATGCACCGGCTCACCTGCTAGGAGAGCCCACCTTCACTGTTCCTTGCCCTCTTTTAGCATCCTGTTTTAAAATTGGAATTACGGCAGCAGACAAGATTTGCAGGCAGGCACCGGCTCACCTGCTAGGAGAGACCACCTTCACTGTTCCTTGCCCCCTTTTAGCATCCTGTTTTAAAACTGGAATTAAAAGGAGAGGAAAGGGTGGAATGCCCAGGGTCAGAGCAATAGGAACCTGGGGGGGCAGGTGGTGCTGATCAAATGGAAGCCTTTGGTATGGTGTTGAGGAGGCCCCAGGAGGGATGGGCTTCACAGTAAAACGGATCTCTCTCTCTCTCTGAATCAGGGGAGGGAACCCCAGGAGGGATGGGCTTCGCAGTAAAACTGATCTCTCTCTCTCTCTCTCTCTGAATCAGGGGAGGGAAAGATGGAGGCTTCGCAGCACTCGCTCTTCTGTTCTTACACGGGGTGTTGCGCTTTGGGGGCAGGGGTGGGTGTCCCTTGAGCCCAGTGCCCCTGCAACCACCGTGTCTGTGTTTGATTTTCGTAGGTAGTCCAGCTGACAAAGCATCACTGAAGCCTGGAGATCGGATCTTGTTCCTCAATGGGCTGGATATGAGGTGTGTGTGGCAGGCCGACCCTGCTGATCCTCTGGGGCGAGTTTGGGAGCGGAGAGGCGCATTTCATGACCAGCAGGAGCCCTGAAGCATGCGAGGGAAGGGGAAAGAGAAGGGTGATGCTGAGCATGCCTCGAGGGCGCCTCCTGAAGCCGTGGGAAGGAATCCGGCTGCCTAGGGTTGCTCAGCGGGAAGCCCCACGCTGCTGAGAATTCGGCTCCAAAGCCTGACACCCAGAGAACCGAGCCCTGAGCCTCAATCTTGGGGCCAAAGGAGAGCCGAGGCTTGCCCCCCCACCCCCTCACAGCCATCTCATGAGCTCCTCCCTGTGGGTTGTGTCCGTGGAGGACCCCCACCTTGACCCACCCCACCCCAGGCTTCTTTGGAAGGCTTCTCTGGTGCTGGGTCTTTCCTCGACATGCCATGGCTTCGGTCTTCTCCCCCCCGGCAGGAACTGCTCCCACGAGAAGGTTGTCTCCATGCTTCAAGGCAGCGGGGCCATGCCCACCCTCGTGGTGGAAGAAGGCATCGTGAGCTTTTCAGGTGATGAGACTGACTCCTTTGGGTGGGCTGGGGGGGCCGCGGTCTGCTCTTAGGCCACCCAAGGCACTTTCCCACCTGAGGCGGGAAATCGAGGGCTGAACGTTAAGCCAGGACTTCTGTACATCCCACTATTTGTGTGGGTCTGCTCTCTCTCTGGGTAGGGACTAGCACCTGGATTTAGGACTTAGTGCAGTGGTTCCCAATCTTGGGTCCCCAAATTTGATTGGACTACGACTCCCAGAATTCCTGGACAAAACAGCTAGTTGGGAAGGCTTCTGGGAAGAGGAGTCCAAGAACATCCGGGGACCTAAGGTTGGGAACGACTGCCCTAGTTCAGAACACCAAAGCTGGCAAAGTTATTTTGACCCAGGAGGTATCAAGAGAGAGAGAGAGAGAGAGAGAGAGAGAGAGATATGCCTTAGGAGCTCTCCAGGGTCCTGAAGTTAATTCACGAGTGGAGTTCAGCCCTTCCGGCAACTTCTGTCAAGGTCTGAATAAAACCTGGAGCTGATTCACTGCTCGCTTGATGTTGGAGTCATTAGCCTTCCCAGAAACGGACGACCCCGCCCCCCATTGCTGGCAGTAAAAGTATCACAATAATAAAGTGAAGAAGCCACTAATGTGAGGCTAGTAAGGTAGATGTTCCTACCATGGCGATCATTATCCCTTCCACGTCCTGGGGAGTGCTCCTAACTTGTCACTGAAGCGGTGCAGAAAGCGCCCAGGCTAACAATACGCTACAGCTCAGCTCAGCCTCCTCCATCTGCCTGTGTCGGCAAAGGGCTTAATCAGCGCAGCTGGATCTCCCCTGTTTCGGAGAGCAGCTGCCGACAGCCTGTGGTTTTTCAGGCTGGATGGAAGCCTTCCTTTATGGATCCTGTAGGCACAGCCAGAAGGGAAGGGAAGGTTCCCTACGTATGCCCCTACACCGTCCCATTTGTCTCCACAAAAGCCCACCTCCAGGGGAACCAGAGAAGATCTTCTCCCTCACTGATGAGATCCATGTTTTCCCCATATGCTATGTGATGTCAAGCTTGCATCTGCTCAAAATCTGTGACTTCATGGCCCTCTAGAAGGCATGCAAGTCTTTTTTCTTTCAAATTCCTCTTGGTTTTCACATGGGGGTGGGGAGACTTTAGTGTTATAGCAGAGGCCCTCCCTCCCTCCCTCCCTCCCTCCCTGTCTCAGTGGAACCCTCCTCTGGCCCAGCCTCTTTGCTTGACCCACTGGTTTGTGCCCGTGTGTGCAGACGGGGAGTCCTCGGACAGTCCCAGCTCGTCCTCCGCGCTGACCTCCTTGCAGTGGGTGGCCGAGATCCTGCCTTCCAGCATCAAGATCCAAGGGAGGACCTTCCAGCAGCAGCTGGAGCACCTGCTCACACCCCCCGAGCGTTACAGCACTATTGTTCATTATTTATTATAAGGTTTGTCTCAGTGGACCCCTCCTCTGGGCCGCCCTCTTGCTTGACCCACTGGTTTGTTCCCGCGTGTACAGATGGGGAGTCCTCGGACAGTCCCAGCTCGTCCTCCGCGCTCACCTCCTTGCAGTGGGTGGCCGAGATCCTGCCTTCCAGCATCAAGATCCAAGGGAGGACCTTCCAGCAGCAGCTGGAGCACCTGCTCACACCCCCCGAGCGTTACACGGTCTGCAAAGCCCTGGAAAGCTTCTTCCAGCACAGGTGAGAGGCTGGCTGTTGCCCTCCCTCCCTTTTCCTCAAGGGCAGAAGGGGAAGTCTACCCAGCGCCGTCTCGCTTTTCTCGCTCTCCCTGTTGTGGGGTTTCCACTTCCCCGAGCAGAAGATCGGCCCGGACGCAGATCTTCAAGGGCCGGGGGGGTCCTGCCGCTTCCGTCCTGCTGTGACGTTGCTGGGGGAGCCTAGGAAGGGGAGCTGGCTCTTGGTAAGGCCAACGGAGCTGCTGAATCAGGCCATTTCCGGAAGGCTCAGGAGGGGCAGATGAAGGTGGCCGGCAAGCTTTGGGCACGCGTGAGAACTGTTTCGGGAATGATGGCAAAGACATGAATCAAATCAAGGGACAAATAACAATCAAAATAGAAATGCAAAAGGCAACCGGTGGCAGCGTAAACAAAGTAAATGTCTGCTCAAACAGAGTTTTAGCCAGACCCAGCCTGGGATAAAATAAATGGAAGCGAGAAGCAAAGCTTCGCCTTCCTTCTTGGTGCCTCTTGAGCTGCTGTTAAGGGCACTGGACCAGATGCCAGTTGTAATGGTCAGGCACCTTGTGTCCAGTCCAGGATTTCGGATTTGTCCCCCACCCCCCCCACCCCTGCCCCTGGCCTGCCTGCCTTCTCCCACCCCAGAGAAACAGCTGCCTGCTCTCTTGTCCACCCAGGAACATCGACACCCTCATTGTGGACGTCTACCCTGTCCTGGACACCCCCTCGAAGCACATCATCTGGCAGTTCGTCTACCAGCTGCTGACCTACGAGGAGCAGGAGCATTGCCAGCAGAAGATTGCCAGGTTTCTCGGCTACAAGTCCCTGGCAGGTGAGCGGGCCGAGGACGGTTAGGGCTGGAAATCACAGTTTGTTGTTTCTTCCTTAAGAAAGGAGAAGCCTTCATGTTTGTTCCCCCTCCCCACGTCCCTCGCCCACAGAGGAAATCCATGTGCTGCTCATGAGTGTCTTTGGGCCTTTCCAAAAGGGATGGTTTACCTCTGAGGGGTACCAGATCGGTCACTGAAATTAGGGGTTTCCCTACCACCACCACCATGCAAACTGGGGGAAATTGCCCCTCTTTGCTTATGGAGCTCCTGTCAGCCCTATGGAGGGCAGCCCATCATACCACGGGGCCGATCTTAGGAAGGAGAGAGAGAGAGAGAGAGAGGAGTCCCCAAAAGCAGCTTTGAAGGGAGTAAACCAGGTGAGCTGCAAGTGGGGCCCCTCAACCCATTTCAAGCCAAGGTACCCAAAGGCTTGGCCCCACAGCATCCAGAATGGAGGGACCATTTTGCCCACTCAGAAAGGGATCCAAAGCCTCGGTGCTCAGGCTTTTGGTGCTGGCCAGATGTTTCAGATGCATTAGCACATGTCCTTTTCTAGCGGATGCTGTGGGTATAATCCATCTAGGTGCTGATCCCAGGCAAGTGCTTTCAAAAGGAGGGACAGCGCAGTAGTAAGGGACCCAAGCCTCTCCCAGGCACTGCAGGAAATCCACATCCTCCAGCATGTCCGGTTGGATGGCCACCTGACCGTGTTTTCCCACCCGCTCGGGAAGGAGACTGGGCGTCACTTCCTCAGGCTTTATGCCTCCAGCCAGCTGGAGACGGTGCCTGGCTGGCGGAGAGAGACGTTGTCGGGGGCCTCTTTTAGGGAAGGTGTCGACACCCCAGGGTGGCAGGGAGGGAGGGAAGGTGTCGCCCCAGTCCCTGACACAAAGGCCCCACACCGACTCCTTCATGCGCAGGCTGCTCTTTCCCCGTCGCTGCAGCAACTCGGGCGCCAGCTGCGCTCTTCTGGGGTGGGGGGGGAGTTTGTGGGCTTTCCACCCTGACGAGGCCAATTAAGAATGAAACGTTTTACTCTTCAGCTGAAGACGGGGTGGTTTACGAGCAAGGGCTCCTTGGCTTGTTCCAAGGAGATTGTTTTAATAGCACAGGGTGGCTCAAACGCTGGGTGGGGGGCGGAACAGGACTCTTCGATAGAGGCCACGGAGGGTGCTTTTGGTGGGCAGACCACGGAATGCGTGGCCACAAAAGGCGGTGACCTCTGTGAGGAGGAGGGTCCTTTTGCCGGGGCCTCAGAGCTGCAGCCCAGGTCAGTGGGAGTCCCCCTTGGGCCGTGCACAGGATGGGCCAGGCTGGCTGGTGGTGGTGGTGGTTGATGGAGGGAGAAGCAACTGAGCAACTCTGCGGCAGAGTTTGACAGATAGGATTGCTCTGCTCCCCTGCAGAGGATACGGTAGTAGGTGAGCTGGTGCTTTATGAGAAGGGCCAGCTGGGCATCTGGAAGACCCAAGGGTTCAGCCTGCAAGCCCACAAGCAAAGCCCCCCCCAAATGATTAACGGGTCCCCCTGAAGCAGAAAACTGAAAGGGTACCTCTTGTGCCTCAGCCCCTGGGCGCCCCCCCCCCGGCTGCCCAGTGTCTCCTGCCTTTGGGAAAGGAACGGGAGGCGGAGGGCTTCTCTGGAGGTGCCTCGGCACTCACTGTGACAGCAGCCGGAGGCTCTTGGGGACGCCCAGGGCCCCATCCTAAGGAAGCCCGGGAATGGCGGTTCGGGGCGGGATGGAGCATTCTGTGCCCGAGGGTCCAAGTGCAACCACCTCCCCTTCCGAAACAGAGTGGAGGATGATGGGCAAGTTGCCAAACAGCACATCCCAAGCCTGAGCGTTGAAGGACTAGAACTGCAAAGCACGGATCCACTTTTAAACAGGAGAACTTCCTTCCTTCCTGCTTTCTTTCCTTCCTTCCTTCCGTTAATTTTTTTTTTTTAAAGAGCTGACAGTGTCGCTTTCCATTGCAGCTGAGCCAGAAGCAGAGGAACGGCCCCGCACCTCCCTACGGGCGGCCCCAGCATGCCGGAGAAGCATTCGCACCCAGAGCCCAGAGGACAACAGAGCTGGAGGTGAGCGGGGGCAGGCCAGGAAGGTGGGGGCGGTGGCATTTCCACTCCCTGGGTGTCCCTGCAGGAGCAGATTCCTCCAGATCCCTAGAGTCCCGGAGGGGCCGATCCTTTGCAGAGTGCTGAGGCGGTAGCATGATGGGTCACAGAGTCCTGTGGCGTGACCGAGAACAGGCGAGAGGCGCCCCCTGGAGGCCAGTGGCTCCAAACCTTTCCTAGCTTCCACCCCATCAGGACAGAAATGTGAAGCCCACTTTGGCAGCTGGGGGGGTGTCATTGTCCCCCCCCCCTGGCACCCAATGGCAGACAGCTAGTTTAGGGAAGGCCAACCAGTCTGTGTGCTGGTGCTCACAGAGCCGCTCCCCAGAATCACAGGGCCAGTGTGCGCCCCCCCCCAGTTTCTGCTGCCCGAAGGTGGGCCTGGGCTTGACCCATCTGCCTTCCTGGTCTTACCTTTGCAAACCTCCCCCCTCCCCAAAGTTCCCCCTGTGATTTGCTCTGCCTCAGCCTTTGATGGAGCCAGACCGATGACCTCTGGTGGCCCCAGGTCCCTTCCCTGACACCTCCTCCTTTCTCTTCGCCCACAGGTCCTGGGGAAGTTGCTGTCACCGAGGGGCTGGTCCGTTCAGCGCCTGGAGAGAGGCAAGCGGGTGACGGGACGTCACTTCCCGAAACGCCCAACCCCAAGATGGTGAGACCCGTTGTGGGCGATGGAACTGGGTGGATTGGGAGGAACGCTGCCATGGGTCCGTGAATTGTGTGTCTGTGAGGGGGGGCCAAGCTGCAGGATCCCCCTGAGCTCACATGGGTGGCCCTCCCACCTCTGCTTCCAGATGTCCGCCGTCTACGCAGAACTGGAAAGCCGGCTCACCACTGGCTTTGGGGGCAAGCTGAGCAGCTTGGCATCTCCGCCAATTTCAGAACAAGGAAACCCGGCAGGTAAAATCCTCCTCTTATCTCAGCAGAACAGGACCTGTGTTCTCCACCCTCTCCCCATACTGGGGAAACTTCAGGCACATTGGCTTTGTAGTATTTATTCCCTCATCTTCTCCGAATTAGATAGGCTGAACGGATAATAGAACCTCCTCTATATCTTCTCCAATATTTTAGTCCTACTCCCCACCTTTCCCCCGCAGGGCTGACCTACTTGCCTGTCTTGCTGCAGCCAGTAGATGGAAATTTAACTCAGGAGCAGACATTACAGGCAATCTGACATTATAAGAAGAAATTCGTTAACTGCAGAAAGCATCTGACTCCCACAGCAGGAGCTTTTCTCATTTCACATGATTAGCGAACGACTGATGGATCTTCAGAACTTAAGCATGTGATTCTTTTCAAGTCTGACTTCCCAAATATGCAAATCTCCCTGAAACAGGGCTCTCCAACACTGACCTGCTTTCAGGGATAATCATAGGCTGTCTGTAATGATGAATTTTGCCCTTCTTTTCTTGCTTAGCACCAAAGTTATTTAAAAACAAAAAAACCGAACAACAAACCCTCGGGTGTTTTACAGGGCTAGAATCACAGTTTTCCTACAGTTTCCCATTCCAAAGCCTGCAGGGGGGGGGAGAGACACCTTGAACATGTAACTTTGATATAGGGCCACCCCAAGAAAGACGGGATCTTGGTTTCCTGAGAGCCCCCCCCCCCATGGTGCCTTTGGTTCTCTCTGCAGGGGCCTGGAAGACGGGGCTCTCCATTTCCTGGCAGAACGACCAGGCTGGCTATTACCACGTGCAGGGCGGCGGCGGCGGTCTTCCTTCCCCGGACAGCGCAGAGTCCAACCCTTACGTCAGCCTGGACAGCAGCCCGGCCCCTTCCCCCAAGCACAGGGGCTACCCCCTCAGCCCCCTCTCCCGGAGAAGGAGGAAGCTCTTCACCTTCTCGCGCCCGCCCCGGAGCCGGGACACGGACCGCTTCCTGGATGCGCTGAGCGAGCAGCTGGGCCACCGGATCACCCTCGTGGACGACTTCCTGACCCCGGAGAATGATTACGAGGAGGTAGGGGCGCGCCGCTCCGGGTTTTGAGCCGAACCGGCGGAAGGGCCTGCAGAGGTGGCCTCTCCTTGGTCCGAAATTTCTGGGGAAGGGGGAAATAGGCCGAGCTTGGGATGACATCCCACAAGGAGGAATTCTGGGGTGCCTTACAAGAAATGGCAAAACGCTGAGCGTTCCCTCTGACAGCCGAGACTGCCCTTCCCTTGACCTTGGGAAGCCCCCCCACACACACACACTGTATCTTCGGTCATATATGATCTGCGGGTTCTGGATTCAGTTCTTACCTGCGGTGCTGAGCGAATGGGCGTTTCGTTGCATGCCACAAAAGGCCACCAACAACGAAGCCTCGCTCGCTTATTTGGTGGCTCTTTGAGGCCCCGGAGCAGCACGAACCGGGAAAAGGCCGTGCGGTCCTTTGGATCGCACAGAAGTATGTAGGAGCGGGTGGATTCCTTTGGTCGGGCCCCTCAATCGATCCCACAGATGGCAAGCTTTCGGGGAGGAATCCCACTTTGCCAGGCTAAGCACCACCCCTTCCAGGAGGGTCCAAAAAGGGATTATGGCACGTTTCTGTGCCAAGTCCGTCTGGAGAGGTGACCTCGGGCTCCGCTCTCAGAAGTCCTCCGCCTCAAGCGCCGCTCCTTGGAGCCGGACTCGAATGTTTACGCCCTGCTCCTAAGAACAAATTTTTTTTGCTAATTATTCGATAATTGCCCTCCTCACACACCCCGACTCACACACACGCACACAAACACACACGCAGACACACTCTGCCTGAACAGCAGTTTCTTTTGGGCCGTGTGGTGGTGGTGGTGGTGGGGGAAGCGACGCAAAGAGGGACCACAGTGCCCATCATCCTGAATCCCACCAGCCCCCTCTGGTGCTGCCCTTTCGGCCTCTCCAGGGGGCGGTTCGCCCTGGCGCTCTCGGGGGGGGGACGGACGCAGCAGGCGCACCGTGCGGTTCTTAGCGCCCCGGCTAAGAATTCATTGGGGGAAAAGCCAGTGGCCTCCATCCGAGTCAGAGGTTTGGGGGCCACATGAAGAACAGGGCTGGGCGAAGGCCCCCTTTTTTCCGCCCCCTGCCCCGTTCCCTTCGCCCTCCAGTTGCGCATCGGCCACCAATAGAGCAAACAGCCTTTTTCCAAAGGGAAGAAGGGGGGAGGCGGAAAGCCGGCTTCAGCCCCACAGGGGGACCTGCGCTCTTTGCCAGGGATGCTCGGCGGGAGGAAAGATGCCGGGGCCCGGGGCGGGGGCGGCGGTGGTGGTGGCGGCCGGCGGAGG